TTGTCCATTCTAGCCACTTAGACCATGCAATGTTGTACGTTTTCCTTGTAGATGATCTCCATGACGCTTGCAATAAACTAATCTGATCGCTATTCCAGTCCATTATATCCCCTGACCACCCCCACATTTCCACACCTCCAGAACTATTTCTTGGATATGTGGGGGAGGCAGACCGGTCGAAACATCTACCAACATCTTGTCGAGATGTTGTAAGGTAATCGGTGCCGCTAGAGTTCGTGCTCTTAGATCGGCCCGCCAGAATACCTTCTTCCATCGCGGAACCACTAAAAGATAGACACCTTTTGCCCGATTGAGATGGGCCAGCACTTTTGGTACTAGAAATGGCGGTGGAAACACCCACGCCAGTGGGTAATCCCATGTCCTTGAAAAGGCGTCGTGAAAAGCAGCTCGATGGTCGTTTAGGTCTAAGGTCACATAGTTCGAGACAACGTGAGCCCTTTGAGAGGCAAATAGATCGATCACTGGAGTGCCAAACCTTGCAAACACTACACACGAGTTCAGTAGATGCCACTCTGGGGGCGCTCGAAGTCTCGAGAGATGGTCCGCATGACTGTTGTACCTCCCTGGGAGATGATGTAACTTGAGGTGTATTTGAAAACGGTCTAAAATCTCGAACACTTGGTATGTCAAATTCATCAAGGGATTTGACTTTGTACCTCCCTGATTCCTGAGGTAGGTTTAGTACCGTAAGGTTGGAGGTTGGGGTCCCTAATGTGGTGATGGAGTCAACTGGCCAGGGAGACTAAAGGATAATTGTCTCCCTCCGAGCTAGGTGTTGTTAGCCCGGGGACCGCGGTCCCCGGGCTAACAATTAGGGCCCCAACCTCCAACCAACCTCAAGGTTGTAGTTGAAGGTTTGGTTCCTTCTGTGGTGATGGAGACAACAGGCTAGGGAGACTACAGGCTAATTGTCTCCCTCCGAGCTAGGTGTGGTTAGCCCGGGGACCGCGGACCAACCGTTGTAGGTTGTACGTTCTATTTATGTTAATTGGTAATGAAACTTATTCTGTGCGATGTAGGTTTCTTTGTTCTAAATGTCTTGTAGTTATTAATTTATGATGTTCGTATTGGTACAGCGCCATCTCGTTAATTGGTGTCGAAACTTCTTGCAGTTCATCTTGCTATCAATGGCTGTGACAATGCTAGTTTTCTCACTATCGATTGTTGTGGCGATGTTATTGCGATGTGTTAGATGTCGCTATGTATCAGTCGCCACATAGGCAATAACAGTTTTGTTGTCGCACTGAATTAGAACTGTGGAATGATGCAGGTACAGACAGTGATCTCTTAATACGTATAAGATTGCTAACATTTCTTTTTGATTGCAATGAAGAGTACGTTCTGCACCAGTCCACAATCCCGATAATGGGAGATGGTCTAATTGTGCTCCCCAGGCCAGATCTGACGCGTCGGTCGTTAGAAAGTGTGCTGGGGGCGGTAAGTGTATCATTGATGAAAGGTGGCAATTTCTCAGCCACCTTATTAAATCTTGTCTGACTCCGGGTGGAACAACATGTGTCTTTCGTGAGGACAGAATTTTGTTTTGGAAATTTAGAAGTACACGATAATTTAGCCTGCCGTTTGGAACGACAAAACTTGCAAAATTTAATCCTCCGGTTAGGCTCTGGACTTCTTTTACGTCGGTTCTTTTTGCATGAAGCATGTGGTTGATTTTGACGGTCAATGATTGCACCTTTTTTGCTGGCAAAGACTTTTGATTGAGCTAAGGGCTCCAATGAATTCCGAGGAAGACGAGGCTTTTCGATGGGCATAAGATAGATTTATCGTAATTTATCATCCAACCGAGACTCTCCAAAGTTTCCAGTGCCATAGTCACGTGACATCGAAGGGTGGCAGAATCTTGGTGAGCCAGAAGATAATCGTCCAGATACACAATTATTCTGACACCCTTCTGTCGCAAGGTCTGTGCGATCCAATTCGTTAGGGCAGCAAAAGTTTTTGGAGCGGTACTCAAACCAAAAGGGAGGCATGTCATTTCTAGCACTTCGTTCATGTAAATTAGACGTAAAAATCTTCTGTGACTCTGGCTTATTTTCAAATGAAAATAAGCTTGAGATAGATCTATTTTGCATAGATAGTCGTTGGGCTGAAGAAATTCTGGTACTCGGAATAAGTTTATAAGATTGAATCTTTCCGTCATAACAAACTCGTTCAGCGATTTTAGATTGAAAATGGGACGAGAAGTACCGTCGCTCTTCGGCACGAGAAACATTGTCGAGAGAAAGCATGGGGAAAGATGGGCTACCTTCAGAACACCTTGTCTTTTCAAATTGTTTATCACTGTTGACATCTCTTCGGACTGAGGAGTGTGGAATGCTTTTCCGCGAATGCTGGGGTAAACAAGAGGTGGTTTTAAACGAAAGGGTATGCGATACCCCTGAATAATTTTTAGTAGGTAATCTGGAGCTCCCATCTTTTCCCATTGTTTGTAGTAACGAGCTAGACGGCCCGCTCTGAAGGAGTTCGCGTCAAAATCTTCGCTTCTTACTACCTCTGCTGTTAGAGGATGACATGCCTCGTTTTCGGTTATTTGTGTACTGATCGTTAGACCTTTTACCTTGTCTGGGAGGATGCCCTTGTAAGGATCCTCGTTGATAAGACGGGTTTATGTGCTGATTCTCCTGCGAGGAGCAATGATAATTGCAGCCGCCCTGCGGGGGCGGATGTCTAACATGATGCGCATGTGATGCGGTCACATGCATGTATGGAGCATTACTATTATAAGCAGTACCCTGTGAGGGCGCCACAGTATAGGATGTACCCTGCGAGGGCACATTTGAAGCTCCTGTCAATCCTGCTTGCGAAGCAGAATTAGTTGCTTTTTTCTTTTTGATAGGCCAAAAACACTTTCTGACACCTCCAGCTTTCTCTAAGGCAGTTGTGAAAGCCTCTGCATCAAATAGATTCTTACAAGAAGGTGGTATCTTTTTAAATACGGATTTCATAAGAGGGTCTTTGACATGATTTATTATACAGTCTCTACGACTTTGTATTACCTCGGCTCGGTGACCACAAGCCAGTTGTAGTAAGTCAGATGACCTTTTTTGAAAGTCACCGTCAGAAAATAGAATTGAAATTTTTTCTTTAAGTAATTCATAGTTGACAGATTCAGAGTCTTTGGCCCAGTTTAATAAATCTCTTAAGGTGGATTGCAACGCCTCTCGTTGCTTTAGTATACATAAGGTCAAGGCAGCATATGATTTATCAGCATGTGTTAAATGTTTTAGAGAATCGAACATTTTAATTTCTTCATTCGCTTCTAAATCTACAAAACCAGGACTATGTTGATACAATTTCTGAGTATCGTAATATCGCAATTCGGACCAATTTTTATTATTAAACAGCTGAAGATCGTGTAACAGTTTCAAATCCGAATCGGAAGTCGTTGGAATGGCTGGTTCTTTCAATTTAGTTTGAATTTGAATATTAAAATCAAATTGCTCATTTGATACGTGGGCGGGAGCCACTGGTAAAGAATATGATGAGGGTAGATCGTTATCGTTATACAGGTCTCTACTCACATCGGAAAAACAATCATTATTATTTGTAGCTATTTGTTCACGTAAAAGTTTCACCTCCTTATAAAGTTCATCTAACTTACGGTTTGAGCGACGACCACGTTTTCTCCCCCTTTTTTTGTCGCGTTGCCGACGCCTCCGCTTGTGAGAACCAGAATCCGAAGAAGAACTCGAAGAGTCACTACTGCTGGTACTGGAACTGGTTTCCGAGGTATGGGGACGTTGCCGCGTTGAAGGTGCTGGTGGCGGCACGGCCGGCCCCGGAGGCACACAGTTCTGGTCGTCGCTGTCCGGCATTCTACATACAAAACTTATTAAGCACTATGCATAGGATAGGGTATATAAAGATAATTTTCCAAAATAAAAATAAAAAATAATAATATATATCAACGGAAAATCCGTTAAAAAAGTTATGCTTCTGTGGGTAGATTTGATTACACTATTTGATGTACTGTTTTAATCACGTACTTTATAAACGTTAAACATTCTATAAGAGCTAAAGGTCCATAGCTTACTTTAATCACGCACTAAAAGAAAATTCTTAATAACTGTAATCATTACCAACACTTATTTAAAAAAGTTCGGTACTTACGTAATTTTGTTAATCCGAAACTTCCAGCAAACCTAATTTGCACTGTTAAATTCAATGAAAAAAATATTCTGAATTGTTTTATTTTAAATTATAAGCTGTAGTCGTTCGTGATCACGAACGTTCACGGCGGGAAACAAGACGCCAATGAAGAATAAAATGGCGGCAACCAACGGCTGCCCCACTGTACTGCCTAGGTGGTAGGGTAGGGGTATGAAAGAGATGCAAATATAAGATAAAAAGAGACAGCAATAGTGGCGGGAACAGGTGACACCTATCTCATATAACTATAAGCTTCGAATAACGGTCAAGTCAAATTAATAACAATAATGACGGATGTATCAAAGCAGAAGTACAATTTCCGAAGAAACATCCACCTACAATACAGTGTTATAAACACTTATAAAATAATGTCACACGTGTTACTAATGTAATATCATATGAAGTGAAGATGCCGTTGGTTGTTAAAATTTGGGCGTATATTAGTTATCCACATTGAATCATTCTTAGAATTTCAGTTAGAGGAAGATTAAACAGCAGTTTCTATGAAACAATTACGTTTTATTATATATTCATATTTTTATTTAGTGAAACCACAAATCGACAGACGTTTTATATTACACTATAGTTTTAGCGATGGTCTACGGAGGTCGAATATTGTGCCTTGCTGGCTGACTACCAACAACTTCTTCGATTAGGTTTTGATGTGTTGGTTTTTCGATATCAATTTCGCTGGATCTTCAGTTTCGATATATATATCGATGTTTTTGAATGTATTTATAGCGATTTTCAGATATATCGATGTTTTAACGTATTTATAGCGATTTTCAGATCCTAATTCTGACATTGACGTACTACATTATTGGATTGTAAACGGAAAATAACCTCAACCAACAATCAACATCAAAAATTTTAACGAAAATGTTTATTTCTTAGTCATATTTCGCCTTAAAGTATTGAAATTAATAATTTTTCATAAAAATGTTGTCTATAAAAAAGATTTCCTCTTTTACCGCATCAAAAATACAATCAAAGTTACATTTTGATTTGCATCGCTCGGTAGTAGAAAAGCAAGTAAACAAACATTGTAATTTTAAATTACTCGATATATGCAGATCGTTGACAGTGTTACATAATTTGACGAAAAAGTCCAAAAACGCTGTAAGTGTTATCGCAAACTGTTAGATAAATGGTATTATTGCACAATCAAATCAAATATTTGGTTATTGTTGTGCCTATAAACCTTTCAACTTTATTAACTTCATTCAATTGAAAACTTCATTATATTTATTTTTAATTTACATTTTTCAGCATTTACGCCATTTTAACAATGAATATAAAGCTGCATATTCATTGTTGAAGAGATCTAACCTACAAGATTTGAGTAATATATTCATTCAAAATGTGCCTATTCGAGGTTTACACACAACATCACCTCATAACGATCAACAAAAAGATGAAAAGGTAAGGATTCAAATTCACTTGGTGTGTGATTTCAGTTATAATTTATTTAGACAAAGTTGATTGTTTGTTGAGATATTGATTACATGATGTAATGTTATTCTTCTAAAAGGATAATAAAGAAAAGAAGGATAAGAAAAAAGAGGATGTCGATGACAACATGTCTTCCCTTCTACTCAAAGCTGCTTTCTGGATGTTAACAACTAGTATACTAGTAATAGCCAGTTCTATATTAGTGCCAGGAGATAACACACAAAACGAGGTATGTTAACTAACTTACGAATTATTTGTCTATTTCGAAATATCCAATCACTAAGAAACAAAACCTTTTATTTAGAATTAAATAATGCTATTGCATGTTTTAAATAAAGTTTAGATGTCAGTAAAAAATAGCAACACTGATTTACAATGCAAAAGTTTTTGAAGCTGCAAGCAAGCAAGCAAGCAATTTGAATCTGGAGGTAGCCAAAATTCCGTACAATATATTTGACTACCATAGTCAAATATATTGCATATTATCAGAATGTAATATCAGAAACCATAAATATAAATGTGGGTGATCAAATAACTATACTTAGCGGTGTCTTGGCCAATACTGCCAACTTAATTCACAGCCAGTTGCAAAAATATCATTAAAATTGTCAATAGTTTAAAGCTCCATTACCCATATAAATTTGACACTTATTAGAGCTAATAGGCCTCATTAAACTTTAATAGATGTTTGTGCAACTGACCATCAGTGTGCAGGGTAGGCAGAAAGGAACAAAGAATAGAAAATATGCAAACACATGAAAACAAATCAGTTAAAGCAATTTGACATTTTTCCACTAAGATATGTAAAATGAAAGAACCTGCATATTGATTGATGACTATTATCTTCTATACTTTTGATCTAAAAATTATTCCTGTTCTTTAACTAGAAATATTCTATGACCTTTGCATTCCGGGAGACTGGTTTTGGGTTCAAATCCCATCTCATAGTAGATTTTTAAGCATTTTTAACTAAGAATATTTTTAGTATAGCATTGTGAATGCATTATTGATAAAAAATAATAATTAGAAATATTCTTATATATAAATGAAAAAAAAAATGTTTATCTAAATTTGTTGCTTATTTTACTTTTTTTATGATGGGTATCTTTATTTTTATTGTATACTAGCTTTCGCCAGCGGCTTCACCCGCATGGTCCCTAGGGAAATGTTAAGTGGGATAAAAAGTATCCTATTATCTAAGTCAGCTAATACCCTATCTGTATACCAAATTACATCAAAATCCGTTCAGTAGTTTCGGCGTGATTTAACTTTTTTAATTAGGGATGACTGAGAGTGTTATAAATGTAAGAGTAGACAATAGACAAATACAATCAGAAAGCTTCGAACTGCTAAGCTATCGGGAGTTACACATGTTATTGTGAGTCAACCATAAAAGATAGACATATGCTGTTGTGGGATATTTTTTATATAATTTTAAGGAGAACATTTCCGTCATACATGATTTCTGGGTAGCTTTAACCCTTAAAGTTGCACACGCGACCTTAAAGAAGCTAAAAAAATGGAGTATCTTCTCTCGTTTTCCCAACATTTCCCTTTACTGCTCTGCTCCTATTGATTGTGGCGTGATGAAAAGTATACTATAACCAGCTCAGGAGTATGAAAAATAATTGTACCAAGTTTCGTTAAAATCCGTCGAGTAGTTTTTGTTTCTCTAACGGTTATACAGACAGATAGACAGACAAAAATTTTACTGATTGCATTTTTGGCATCAGTATCGATCCCTAATCATCCCCTGATAGTTATTTTGGAAATATATTTCATGTACAGAATTGACCTCTCTACAGATTTATTTTAAGTATAGAAGATGTATTCATATATTCTTAATTGAATTCCAGCTCATTAGGTATGTATCATGGAATGAGTTTGTGTATTCAATGTTATCAAAAGGGGAGGTTGAAGAATTGATTGTCAGACCTGATATGGAAGTTGTCACTATCATACTTCATGAAGGTGCTATCATCAAAGGCAAGAGGGTGAGTTTATTTTCTAAATCACTTATATTACCATAAAATAAAGATTAGAAGGGGTAAAGTTAATATGCATGCAAAATGTTTTGTGTGTAAAAATCTTACTTTCAGACAGACAATAAACAAAACGTAACAAAAACAATTACAAGCTGTTTTTACAAATTTAGTGTAAAGAGTTAATTATTGTAAAGAGAAATTTTTGAATTTTAGAAATTTTAGTGTAAAGAGTTAATGATTGTAAAAAGAAATTTAGTGTAAAGAGAAATTTTTAATATTATTTTCTCATTAATACATTAATTATCATAAAATTAATTATCTTTGTTAATTATTTTTAGTCAAACCATAGAGTATATCATATGAATGTTGGAGATATTCATAGATTTGAAGAGAAACTTCGTGATGTGGAGCAATCACTAGGTGTTAAAGAAGGTACTTTTGTTCTATTCAACTACCTAAGGCAGCACTTAAGTTTTCATGAAATATTTTTTTTTCGTATAAGTATATTTAGTTGTTTGATAATAGTTCTTACAAGATGTGTTTCTGTATTTGATTCTGATAACAATTATTAACGTTAATTTTTTTTTCTGTAATATGAGATAATGCGCAGTATCCAGGATGAAAATAAACTATGCGTAGATACAAAAAATATTGAAGTAAAAAACTGCAACGAAGCTTAAATAGTACTTATTCTATGAGCTGTTAACATATTCAAGAAACGTATACCTAAATTTTTACTAAAGTGCAAGGTAGAACAATATCTCTTATTGTTGACTAACTTTTTACATCAAGTGGACTGAATAAGGCAACAGCAGAAAATTGGAGATAAAAGAGGAGTAATTTCCTCTTTTTATTCTAAAATTGGAGATATCTCTGCTACTGCTCCACCCAGTGGACATGTTCGTTCGATGTTCACCCAGAGGCCCTGAACCTAAATCTTTTATGACTATTTCAGGTGTCCATGTGATATATGACAGAAATGGCAGTGTGGCAGGCAAAGTAATAACTACACTTCTCATTGGTGCTCTAATATTATCATTTTTGTACTCCACCAAGTCAATGAAGATGAACATAAACCTAGGTGGTTTCGTAAGTAATTTAATAATGAATGATTAGAACCTATTACTGCAACTTTCCCACCAAATAACAACTCTAGCATAAGTAGTAAACAGTTTTTTATAAACGTCATTCAGAGAGTATACATAGATGATACAAATTGTGACTTTTTGTGCTTAACGGAAAAGTAGGCAGAGGATTATCAAATACAGGGACTGAAGATTGCTAGCTTGGAACTAGCAACATTCTACAATAGACAGTAATTCGATCATGGTGGAACAGTAATATATACTAAAGTTTATGTGGAACACAATATAGGAAAAGATTTAAATAGGCTATCGTATGAACCGACATACCATAGCCTATATAATATCCTCAGAAAATAGTTATTGTTTGTGTTTACTAAAGTTGTAAATATTACTAAAATTATAATTATTTTAACTGACGATTTTAATCTAGATATTTTAAATCCAAACGAAATTACAAAAAAGTTTTTACACCTTCTAGATAATTCTACCTTGAAACATGTTATAAACCAATCAACTTGCATTCATAGAAATAGTGCTTCATGCATAGATAATTTTATTGTTAATTTTAATGATTGCGAGGGCAATGTACGAGTATTAAATTTTAAACTATCAGACTATAACTGTATAATGTTACCATTTTTGATAGATAATACTGCGAAAAAAGTAACTGACTGTTTTATAATATCAAAAACATAAGGATGATAAAATATAATTAACAGATGGAAACAATAAAATATCACGCGATTCATCCCAAGTTGCAAGCTTGTTCAATCATTTCTTTTTTCAAAGAATATAGCAAAAGACAAATGTTGATTTAACCAAGTGTCTATGAGTAACATTAAAAAACCAATATTAGATCTAGAATGTAGCTTAAGCACATTGTTAAGCAAATATGAAAAATAAGAAGTCTGCCGATATATATATGACATGAGCACATCAATAATGAAAACATTATTTTTGTCCAATGACGTGTTGTTTAATACCTCACTATGTAATAAATGAGTGCGTGATGGGAGGAATATACAGGAGTATTTCCAGATGTATTAAAAATTTGAATTGTAATGCCTCTTCCTAAAAAACGAGAACGCACTGATACAAATAATTATAGACCTATATGCATATTGTCAACAATATCCAAGATTTTAGAAACCTCATTTAAGGATAACATTATTGATTTTTTTGAAAAAAATAAGTTAATCTCTCCAGTGCACCTCGGTTTCCAGAAAAACAAATCAACTGAGATGGTAATAAGTAAGGTAAAATCTCTAGATAAATCAGAAAAATGTGTCAGCACATTTTGCGATCTCACAAAAGGCTTCGATTGTTTATGTCATGCATGAGATTCTCCTACAAAAGCTTGAATATTACAATTTTAAAGGAAAATAACTAGATATGATGAGATCTTACTTTAGAAACCGGCAACAGAGAGTAGTGGCAAATGGGCCGACTTCAGATGCTAGTGATATTGATATTGGTGTTCCACAAGGTTCTTCTGTCCTATCTTGGGTCTTATTTTATTTTTTATACATATAACTTGCTTTATACCGGATTAGACGCTAGTGACCCTTTTCGCAGATAATACTTACGTAGGAATACAAGAAACTGACTTATTTGCATTGAATAATAAATCAAAAGAGTTTCAAACAAATTGTATTAAATTAAATGCAATAAAAGTATTGTACTGAAACATCAAACAAAAATATTTAAATTAGATAAGACTGACAATTCACTCAAAACTGAGCATATATTTTTTTACACTATTGCATACAATATCTCATATACCGCAAATACAAAAACTGTAAAAAGATATAGTTTACACTTGCAAACTATGCATTCATAATATTATAATCACTTGTCGATCACAAATCCCTATTGACAGTGTATTACGCTTACGTGCACTCCATGATACATTACTGTATTACCATTTGGGGGTTGAGTACATAATTAGAAGGGTCCTTATAGCGCAAAAAAGAGCTGTAAGAATTTTATCTGGTATTAGGAAAAGGGAGTCTGCAAGAATCCACTTTGTAAGAAATAAAATTATGACAGTAATATTTCTATACATTTACAGAAGCCTATACAAAGGACTAACGGTCAGTTGCGCAAACGTTCATTAAGGTTTAATGACGCCTTTAAGCTCTAATGAATGTCAAATTTGTATGGATAACGTCACTTTAAATTAATGAAATTTTTAATGGACGTTTGTGCAACTAGCTGTATATTACAAACCCAAGGCGAATATAATATATTTGTTCAATAAACTACCAGCAACTTTGATGAAATAAAAGAAATGGTTTCAAAAGATTCCAAAGAGTTCAAAATGTTCTTTGTCGCGAACGCTTTTTATCAATTTTTTTTTTTATGAAATCAAATTAATTGAAAACATGATGTTGAGTCGTGAGGAGGTATCTTCATTTTGACCTTAACTCATTTATCGAATTTATGTACAAAGATTTGCCTAGTGTGACCTACTCTGTTACAAGGTCAGTGATTTGATTTGGAGCCAATTCAATGCAACAAATAATCAGATCTTTCCACTTTATATTATTAGTATAGATATAAGTCAGTGACCCAAAGACGCCCGTATAAAGCATATGAGTAAATTTAAAACTGTACTGCCATTTTGTTATTGTGTGTTATTTCAGAGTCAACTAAGTCGAGCCAAATTTACTTTAGTCGATTCAATGAGCGGTCAAGGCAAGGGTGTGAGGTTCGAGGATGTGGCCGGTCTGCGGGAAGCCAAGATTGAGGTCATGGAGTTTGTTGACTATCTGAAGCGACCAGATCATTACAAGAGCTTGGGAGCAAAGGTAAATAGTACTTTGTCTAAAATTGCCACTGATTATAACAAAACAAACTGTTGTGGCACACAACTTCGCTGTCCTTTGGCCATCGCTATTAAAACATAGCTATCGCTATAAAATAAATTTCTTGTCTCAAACTTTTTAGAGCGTGATATAGCTGAAGTCAGCTTTTAGTTCATGAATTTATTTTCTGTTTAATTAATTTTGGAGTGTATTTAAGAAAAAGCACAAGAAAAAGCTGTTAATAAATATGTATAAATGCTAATTAAGTCCTTTCATTCAATACCCTACATGGAATGATTTAATAATACATTTTTTTAAGTTCCTTACTGTCTGCTCTCTAGAGGGCGCTGTTACAAATTTCACTTAACGTCACATAGCCTATAGCTATTTGTCAAGTTATGATAAGTAGTTTCAAAGTTATAAGGGAACAGATGAACATTCTTACATACATAAATACCGGCTAAAATCATAACCCTTATTATCATAACTTCGCCGTAGTCGGGTAAAAATGAACAAAATTTTGACTTCCCACCTTTTTCTCCGACATTCTGACAAAGACTCGATCACGTCGCCATTACAGTTTAAAAAATTTCGAATTACTACTTTGATTTTGTAGGTGCCGAAAGGGGCATTGTTGTTAGGCCCCCCTGGTTGCGGTAAAACATTGTTGGCTAAGGCGGTTGCTACTGAAGCCAATGTACCATTTCTGTCTATGAACGGCTCCGAATTCATAGAAATGATTGGTGGTCTCGGAGCTGCGAGAGTCAGGTACCTATTGTAACATCTGCATAGATATTGATGCCAATTTATTGTACCAGTCTTCAAACTGAAAAAAAAGCAAAGTCAAATTGGGTTTTATTTCAACACTATTATATAGGCTACATGAGTTTTAATCCTGTCGTGAGTTTGACAAGATCAAAACTCAATCTAATGTATGCAAAAGTGTGTTTGTCTTACTTTTCACTTTATTATGGTATGATTTACTAACAAGTGACGTCACAGAGATAGCAGAGGATATGCATTGTTACTTTACTGGAAGTAATAACTTGTCATATACAAAAAGTAAATATATTGGCGAAAAGAGAGATCACCATTCTTACGATTTTGACGTTTTTTTATATGTTCGTCTTTTATCAAAGAAAAAGTAAAAAACGGTCTACTTTTTCCTACCTGTTTTATAATTATTACGTTATAATTCAAAGGACAAATGATAATTTTTGTATTCATATTTTCTTTTACATTCATAGTTCTAATAATCTTCATTTTACATATTTTTGTGATTTTATAAAGGAACTATTAAGACTCCTTTATTGTTAGAAATTATAAAATCTAAGGGCCTTCTCTATTTTTCACGAACGAAATTTTGGAACGTGCTTAGATTTGTTATATCGTTAAATGCGTTTCTGTTGAGTCGTATTAGTTTAACGAAATACCTAGATGAAATCGTAATCGCATACGAATGCAAAACATTTGTGAAATCTTGTCATAAGCCAAACCCTGGACGCATTCAGAATAGTCTCGCAGATGTTTTGCATTCGCATGCGATTGCGTCGGTTTACCAACGGCGTAAATGTAATAAACAAACGGCGCTACAACTGTATCTAAAATCGTGTGTTTTACGTATAGGGATCTGTTCAAGGAGGCAAAGTCTCGCGCGCCCTGCATCATATATATAGATGAGATGGACGCGGTAGGGCGTGCCCGCTCCTCAGGCCCAACCTCCTGGGGCCCCGGGGGTGGGGAGGGGGAGCAGACCCTCAATCAGCTGCTTGTTGAAATGGACGGCATGAAGAGTAGAGAGGGAGTCGTTGTATTAGCTTCCACTAACAGAGCTGATGTATTAGACAAGGTAATACGAGTGAAGACCGTAAACTAACATAAATTCATATTATTTTTTTTTTCTGGTAGTGCTTAGTAAAAAGTTACCGATAATCACACTTTTATGCTCGTTGTCATGTGACCGCAAACAACGCGTGAGGTCACGCCCTTCTTACTCATATCAGAACTTAGAGAATTTAAATGATTATGCATACATAATCAGAGGGCCGTGTTGTTTTCGCGGGAAATTTTGAAAACTTTTTTTTTTTTTAGATTATAACTTATTATATGAATGATTTCTTTTTTATATATTTCATGTACATCCATAAAAATATAAAAAGTTGCCTACACACACACCTATTTATAATGAAACTGTTTTTTAAGCATGTAAAGATGGGCCAAAACCACAACATTAAAAGACAAGTTCTAAATATTTCAAATTTGTTATAATATTTTGTAACCAACATCCTTATGAATGAAAAATACCTAAAAAATCCACCACCGCCAGTTACTCTTGAGATGATACCCTAACCCACGACCCTTCGCTCTAACCACTGAGAGCTTTTCATTAAATATATTTTCCAATATAGCATTGGAATGGAAAATTGAATTATTTCCTATATAAATGGCATTAATTATATCAAATGCAAAGTAATGATCTTAAAATCTAAAGATTGTACATTTTTATATGATAAGTTGCGTAACAATTTTTATGTATTATTTCAACATACACTATGGTTAAATCAATTTAGAGCAATATCGAAGAATTTTTATTTAATGTACACTATGTTATCTTACTTCTGTCAAAGCATACTTAATTTATTTAGTTAATATATAAATTAAGTATGCTTTGTAAATGTAAGGTCATTAATTTAAAATAGTATTTTAGATTAAGTTATTTTTTTAGGCCCTATTAAGACCTGGCCGATTCGATCGTCACATTCTAATCGACTTACCGACACTGCAAGAGAGAGAAGAAATATTCCAGCGACATCTGAAAAATATTGTGCTTGAAGATTTACCACCTCATTACGTCAAAAGGTATTTAAAGAAAGCTTTCGTCATAATCAACAGTATTACGATTTTTGTTACCAAAAATAAAACTAGAGTGAGTTTAACTTTTTCATTTAGAAAAATTATTAAAACCCTGGGTAAAAATACGTACAAATTGGCGGGTTATTAAAATAATTCTACATTTGCTTTATTAAATATTGAATGTATAGTGTGTGTGTCAGTGTGTGTGTGTGTGTGTGTGTATGTGTGTTTGTGTGGATGTAACATAAAAAAGCGACTAAATCCGCGTTGGGCTTGCACATGTATTAAACAATGTTTCATTCGCTAAAGAATATGCCTGTTTTCTAGCCGGACGATTCAGTGCAGTAGGCATAGTAGACCGTATTCGTTTTCGTGCTTGATTCGGTCATAATAAAAGTCTTAATTAATGATAACTCTTACAAAGTTAAACCATGTTGATTATTTGTTAGGTTGGCATACTTGACGCCCGGCTTCAGCGGCGCGGACATAGCTAACGTATGCAACGAGGCGGCGTTACACGCGGCACGATACAAACAGACAATAGTGCGCGCGCGCGATCTAGAGTATGCCATCGAGAGGGTAGTCGGTGAGTTACGAATGTTGTAATAGCCGATCGGACAGTAATTAAATAAAAAAAGGTTAAGTGTGGTAAAAAGAATCATAAAGCTTAAATATTATTCGCCGAATATTTGTTTTCTAAATAATAATGATTTATGTTTTTAAATCTATAAACAAAAATACAATTTTCAATATTTGTAGTCTACGTCTCACGTCAAATGAAATACCAATCAGAGTACGTGACGTCATTTATGGGTAAATTGGTAGTAAAACTATCTAGAGATTAATGATTACTTGATATTTCACGGTTACGAGAGTCAGTTTACTGTTTTATTAATTTGTGAGTTTAAATATAAGGACTGCACACGCTAATTATTTTTTTCACTGAAAATGCCTTTTGTTAATTTCCACAAATAAAGTCACGTCCTCAGAGTCGTCGTTTACGTATCTTTCGTAAACAGTTTTATATTAAATACTGTACGGATGGCGTTGGGGAGATGTATTGAAAACACCAGGTTGATATTAAGACTGTCATTTATTAATAATGTAATTGATTATATAGGAGTGATTATATGGCTACTATTATAGTATACGTATCTTACCTTACATCCCCATGGAAGGGGAAAACAAAACAAAATTAGTAAATACAATATTTTAGTTTTGTTTTTTAAATGCATTACATAAATCTTTATTCAATTACATACGATTACAATGTTTGTTTACATTCTAAGATTATAGGTTTTATCTATATAGTATACCTATTGTATATATGATACGCTAATGTTGACTTATCTAGAACTAATAACAACAACAAAGTATACTTTTAGCTTACATTATGATAACAGATTTATATATTTGGTTCTAAATATAGTTTAGTTCTATTTTTATGAATAATGTCAATTTTTCCTTTTTTTAAAATTTCTACATTTGGTGATAAGTCTCTTATCACAGGATATGGACCTGAATATAAGCTTTGCAATTTATTTCCCGTCTCGTTTTTAATTAAAATTAAATCATTATGTCTATATTTGATAGGATTTATATTACAATCATATTTATGTTTTCTTTTTAATTTGCTATATATTAAATTCTTGCGTGCTTCTTTTTGTGTTGTTTGGATTCTATACTTTAATTCTAAGGGATACGAGTCAAAATTATAAAGCGGATCGACAAGATCTTGTGACAAATTAGATGGTAAAATACATCGTTTCCCGAAAACTAATTCGTACGGTGTGAAACCCGTTTCACTATGGACAGAGGTATTAAAAGAAAAATTCCAAAATGGTAACCATGAACTCCATGTATATGGACGATTTTCCGTTTGTATTCTTAAATAGTTACCTAAAACTTTGTGCGTATTTTCAAGAGCACCAATGGTTTGATGATGATAAGCAGTTGACAATAATTTCTTGATATTAAGAAGTTTACATACCTCTGCGAATACTGCTGATGTGAACTCCGTACCCCGATCTGTGGCGATTACCTGTGGTATTCCATACACTAATATACATTTTTCTACAAACTGTTTCGCAATTTCTGTAGCACTTTTTGTTAATAAGGGACAGGTTATAACATATTTACTTAATTCACATTGAATTGTTAATATATATGAGTAATTCAAATTATCTCTTTCTAAAGGTCCTACGGTATCAATAAATATTTTTTCAAAAGCCGAGTTAGCCGTTGTCGTGATTTCCATTGGTTCTTTTACATATTTACTTGTATGTTTTTGTTTTTGACATTTATCACAACGTTTTACAAACTTTTCTATATCGTTGATTAATCCCGGCCAAAAATAATATTTTCTTATATTATTAAACATTCGCCTGATGCCTGCGTGGCCACTCGTAGGCAAGAGGTGAAAATCGTTTAAAATAACTTTTCTATCATCTTTATTTTCAATTTTCGTTACATTTTTCAATACACATAATCGTGGTCCGGACCATTTACTTTTTCTAGTAATTTCTTTCGTTAGCTTCTCTATAAAAATATAATTATTTTTATTTTTTAAAAAATATATTTCTTCCACTTTAATTTCACTACACATAACATTCAGTTCTCTCGCAAAAGCGCTTGGCGTCGGTTGCGATCGAGCAACTGGTTTTATATAAATTATTCTTTTCGAAGGAACATAACATAACATAGAGCTTTCATTTTTTATTTCATTTGATTTTCGTAATTGTGTTAAACCTAAGTTGTCTATAAACTGTAATTCTACAGAATCGTCCGGTTTGTTATATATTTCTAAGACTTTTGGTTGATCAGACCGATTGTCATCAGGAACAATAACATCCCTTGGATTCTCATTTAATTTCCTACTCTGTGCTCGCGTCATAACATTCATACATTCACTCAAATCTTTCAAGTCTTTCGATGTTACACACAACCTAGACAACGCGTCTGCAGCCGCATTATCTTTGCCTTTCACGTACTCTACCGTAAAATCGTACTCTTCTAATGTCATTCTAAATTTCATTAACCGACTGGATGGGTCTTTCATACCGAAAAGATAAACAAGTGGTTTGTGGTCAGTTAAAATATTAAATGTTTGCCCATAAAGATATGGTCTAAAATGTTTAACAGCCCAAACAATTGCAAGTAATTCCTTTTCTACTATCGGATAATTTTTTTCTGCTTGATTTAAGCCTCGACTGGCATAAGCTATCGGCTTTCCGTCTTTGTTTGATAAAACCGCACCAACAGCGTAGTTCGATGCGTCGGTTTGTAATACGAAATTGTTTCTTTTTGAGAAATCCGGGTATTGTAGAACCGGATGAGTAGTAAGATTTTCTTTTAAAATATTAAATGAATTTTGACACTCATGGTCCCACTTGAAATGGGCATTTTTCTTGCAAAGTAAATTTAAGGGATATGCTTTTGCAGCAAAATGAGGAATGAATTTTCTATAAAAGTTTACAAAAGCAACGAAACGTTTAACTTCATCGGTATTCTTTGGAACGGGATAATTTTTTACAGTACTGATTTTTTCTGGATCAGGCGTAATGCCTAAAGCAGATACAACATGTCCTAAATACAAAATTTCTTTCCTCAGAAAATTGCACTTTGAAGGATTTAATTTTAAATTAACTTCTCTCAACCTTTGAAAAATGTCTTGTAAATTCTTATTATGATCAATTATATTTTTTCCAAAACAAACTAAGTCGTCCAAGTAAATTAAACATTTTTCATGTGTTAGACCCGTTAATGCTAAATTCATCATTCTTGAGAATGAACTAGGGCTAGTTTTTAACCCCATAGGCATTCTTGTCATTTGGAATTGTCCAGAGCAAAATGCCGTATATTTTCGACTGTTTGGTTCGAGTTCAACATTATAGTAACCCTGGTAAAGATCAAGGTGTGAAAAATATACACTACCTGATAATGCATCTAATATTTCTGTTACGTTAGGAAGAGGAAACTTATCATTTTCTATACACTCATTTATTTTCCTATAATCTATTACCAGCCTCCATTTCCTGTTCCTATTTGAATCAATTTTCTTTGGAACCAAAAGGATCGGGCTTGACCATTCGCTTTGGCAGCTTTCGATAATGCCATCTTTTAACATATTATCAATTTGTTTCTTTATTTCATCTTTCTGAGAATAAGGCAACCTGTATGGTTTGACATAAATGGGATCAGTGTTTGGTTTCATGCGAATTGAGTGTTTATAAATAGAAGTAGTATTTAATTTATCTCCCGGTAGATAAAATATATCAGAATATTTTGCAGTCAAATTTTCTATAGAGATTTTTTCTTCTTTATTTAAATGTTCCAAAAATAAATTATTGAATAATTGCTTAACCCTATCTGAATTTAAATCTGTTTTATTAAAATTACATACGTTGTAATCACAAAGCTTTTCTATATTTGGTCTGATGTTACTTAAGGTCAAGTCTTTATCAGTGGTATTTAAAACTTGCACTAATATTTTACCATCCTTCGGACTACTCAATGTACTCGCAATATAAACTCCCTGTTGAATCTCACTTGCACACACTAAACATTCTTCCGTCAGATTCATATATATATAATGTACGGACTCCGATCTGGCAGGTATAAAATATGTACTTTTAGAAGTTGAACCTAGTAACAGTGGTAACTTTATCTCATTATTTGTATTCGTCCAAAGTGTTAATGATTTATTCTCGAAATTTAAAACCGACTTGTGTTCGCCAAGAAAGTCTTGTCCTAGAATACCATGTGCCTTACATGGCAAAGTATCAAAAACAAAGAATTTATGCGTCAGAGTATTCTTGCCTAATTGCAAGTCGATATTTACATATCCTATTGCACTAACTTTTCCACCTAAGCCGTTAATCATAACATTCTTTTTATGGATTGGAATATTATGTTCTAAGACATATGTATACTTTATAGCAGAAATTGATGCACCGGTATCGATCAAAAAATAATATTGTAAGTTCCGAAATATTGATAATTTAACGAAGCATACATTATTACATGATAATATGTGCTCATTATTCACGAAAAAACTGATTTTCCGACATATTGGCCGATGATGTACTAGCTTTCGGTTGGGAGTCTACTACGCCTACATATTCAGAATTAAAATTACGAACAATTTTTGTAGGTTTTCCTCTCGTGGATCGAGTTGTAGTTTGTCCCCGCCATGCTCTTGAGGAACCTCGAAAAACTCGCGTCCGGTTTGGATACCTATTTTGGTCTCTATAATTATAATTGTTGTGATACATACCATGATGATTATATCCACGCTGCCGTTGATTGGTGTACTTACCTCGAGTATATTGATATCTATTCGACCGCATAGTTAGTAGCTCCTCTCCAGCACTCGGATCTAAGGAAGTATCTTCATCCACTGCGGCCTGCACTGCATCTTTTAAATATTCATAATTCCTAGCCGATATAACCGTACCCAATCTACGGTTTCGCAATCCTTCAGCGAATTGCTTTATAGCTTGTTCTTCATTTATACTCTTTAAAATTCTATACTTATTTTCATCGTTTTGAGATTGCGAAATCGTAAGATTAACAAATAAATCAGACATAGATTTTCCATAATCTTCTGTGGTCATATTATTTTGTCTTAAGGACAACAATTTCTTTTGAAGAGCTGTAGCTGATTGTAAAGGCAGCAACCTTTTTCTCATATCTTTTAATAACTCCGTTACATTCGGATAACTTTTTTCTAATTTTAGTTTCGCGCCTTGTGATAAACGATTTTTCAGAATAAAATTAACTAAGTCATTTTTAGCATCAGCTTTTAATTTTGACTCGTAATACTCGATTCCATCTATTAATTGCTTCGTGACAGATAATTCATCTGTCATAAGTGGACATAAATTGAAAGCAGTTTTAAAATCAAAATCCATTTTTAAATCTATTTTTTCTACCTGTCTACACAAGTTATTTACTTCTTCGTATATTTCCTCAAATCTTTTTGTCAACCCCTTAATATTTATTAATTTCTTCTCATCACATGAATAAACTATTCCTTTATTAAATTGACTCACTAACTCATTATATCTTTCTCTTATTAAATTTGCCTCTCGTAACTTTTTTATTACAATATTTCCCTCTCTTCTCTTAGGACCAATCTTTATTAAATAAGTACGAATTTCCAGTAATTGATGTATAATAAGTTCAAAAGGATTATCCATATAATAAAATTAATAATACAAAGATGCTTACCCTTAATACATTTGTTTATACTTAGCTTATCTAAACATAGTCGTAGCCTAGCGCGCTCATATTAATCATATTTTGCCGATTTACTTGCACAATTGCACATTTTGTTATTTCACTTAGCACTTTCTTTTTTATTTATTTTTTTTCACTTTTTCACTTCCACTTTTTAGTAATGATTACTCTGCATCTGCTCCAATCTTGCTCAGTCGCATTGTTTGCACAAAAGCTCTTCTTTCAATACGCTTATTTATACACTTATTTATGTAGCGTGTTAGTAGGAAAATAATTCCTATTCCCAGCATCAGTACCAAAATACCCAGATATAAGTCAGTCGTATAAAACTTGTACTCCCGATGCTCGTCTATTGAATTTTTAAGACCAATTTGGGAAACTTCATGGGTCGTTGGCGCAGCCGCTGGTCTATTTGCTCCTGAATTACACATTTTTGTCTTCTTGGTATTCTTGATAGACGACAAACTCGCGCAACGTTGTAAACGAATTTATTGAATTGTACATTGTTAATTCGTTGGACTATGCATGTAACCCGAGCTCCAGATCGTGGCCTGCCAAAAATGGCAGGGTCGCCATGTACGGATGGCGTTGGGGAGATGTATTGAAAACACCAGGTTGATATTAAGACTGTCATTTATTAATAATGTAATTGATTATATAGGAGTGATTATATGGCTACTATTATAGTATACGTATCTTACCTTACAATACATTTTTGGAAGCACAATGAATGAGGTTAATTATAAATAATATTTTTGGTGGGAATATATTACAAAATACAAAAAGAAACCGTTATGCTTACTCTTGAAAGCAATCGCGATCGATCGACATTGCAATTGTGACGTTTCGTACTCTTGATTTGGTTACACTAGCGCCAATTGGCTCATTATTGCGTGGTTATTTAATGAACTACTTGACATTGAGATTGTGTTCAACAGTAAGTCTGTTGAACGACTTCATTTGCAATTTATATCAGTAAAGCAAAGTTAAGTCACGTGACAGAAATATCTCTCATTATTAAGTTCCGTCTATAGGGAATACCCATTCCCCAGCTGTGGACATTTATAGTGAATTCATGTGATGATAAACACCAATTAAAAGTATGACATCACTTGTTCTCAAAATTCGTGATGACATAAGTACTTACATAGAAGTATATTCCTGAGGTTTCAGGTTACAGGTTTTATTGAAGTCACGTGATTAACATAACACCCTACCCGAAAACATCTTCATTTTAAGTTTACGTTCGTGTCGGATACTTGTTTATTGTTTCCCCATCTTTAATTCCTTTTTTGTTTCAATATAACGAAAACACTCACCGAACACTTTTTAGTTTTTTGATATGGTTTTTCGTAAACCATATCAAATTTTTATGAGTCAAAGAACTGTTTTTACTATAAATGTAGGTATTTCAATAATAACTCTACAATTGCAACAACTAAAACTGCAGCAACTAAACGCAAAACAAACTAGCATAAAAATCACGTTTGTAGTATGGGAAACCCCTTAAATATTTATTTTCTTTTACGTTTTTTTTTTTTTTTGTTGTCATAGCGGCAACAGAAATACAGTATAAAGCTATTCTTCAAGACATATTTTATTCTTCAGACATATACTAAAAATGTTTACACATAGACTAATGTTGATGTATGCAAAAAAAAATAGACACTATGTAAAAAAATTAAAACAAGCTATATTATACCCTAACATTAATTAAATACAATTCAATACTAAGCAACTGTAATTTATGTATAAATATTATTATTATCATCAACTGTCTAAATTTTACGGTTCATGAGATACAGCCTGGTGACAGACGGACAGACAGACAGACAGCGAAGGAATAGGGTTCCCGTTTGGCTAATTAAAAAGTGTAACTCGTGTATATTGCCAGGTGGTACAGAGAAACGTAGCCACGCGATGTCACCAGGGGAAAAGAAAATAGTGGCGTATCATGAGTCAGGTCATGCTCTAGTAGGTTGGCTGTTGGAACATACTGATGCCCTACTAAAAGTCACCATAGTGCCGAGAACTAATATGGCGTTAGGATTCGCACAATACACTACATCAGATCAGAAACTATACTCCAAAGAAGAGGTGAGTGATTGCTTTATAATGTAATGATAAAATATTAAATATATCTTTATAATTGAAAAATTGGCGCTGTAGGTCAGTGCAGACCTGTTTCATTTTGCTCCGTAAAAATCATCTTGCAAAGAGTGACCTATTGAATTTAAATTTGAAGGTAAATGTTAATATATTTTATTATTGTTTCCAATAAGCATACTATGGTAAATTGTAAGTGCGATTAGTTAAGAGCAAATCTATTTTAAATTTTCACTTTTAAGCAACTATTCACTATTACTTATGTTAGAGACACCCTGTAAAGCATTAAATAGATATTCACCTATGCTCAGTTCTATCAAAACTTGACGCATTGATCGGTTTTCATTTCTGGGGACGTTATGCGTAGAAATAGAGTCAAAGATAAATGCTAACATGTACTGTTTGTCAAAAAAACAATTGTGGCAAAGTGGCGAAAACAAAAGTATGATGAGATTAAGATTATTATTATAAAACAGGATCTCTATAATAATTCATTCATTCATTTCTTATTACTTCACCTTTGTTATTTGTATGTTTACCAGTTATTTGATCGAATATGTATGGCTTTGGGCGGTCGCGCTGCTGAAGCTATTGTCTTCAACTCTATCACAAGCGGAGCCCAAAATGACCTGGAGAAAGTTACTAAAATAGCTTACGCGCAGGTATAGTATTACTTCCAGTTGTTTTAGTTCAAATAATTTTGACGTTAAAGTGGCTTACGTCGGTTCTATTTTGTGGATAAGAAATTAACTTTTTGCCAATTTCTCAGCTACCAAGTAACCAAAGGTGGGCAAAGTTAATTCTGTTCCAGGGAATTTCGTAATTGCACTTATGTTTAATTTTTATTGCAGCTGGTCTTCATTTCTAAACTTCAATTTTGTCACAGGTTCGCATATATGGGATGTCCAGTAAAGTCGGTCTACTATCGTTCCCTGATTTGAAGGAACATGGCAAGAGTCCATTCAGCAAAACTCTCAAGAACCTCATAGACTTAGAAGCTAGGAAAATCATTGCGGACGCATACTATAGGACTGAAGACATACTTAGAACTAACCGGGAGAAACTGAACTCGGTGAGGGAATTTTGAAACATTTACGAGGGTTAATACCAGTAACAGGTTTAAATTATCTGACCAAGATAAGCCAATAATGCTCTATTTGATGTTTTCTCTTTTGTTATTGTCAATTTGCTTTAGGCAATATATTTAAACACTCGACTTAGACTTAGGCAACGTGCGAATACTTGGTATAGCGGTGTTATTGTATTAGAAACTAAGCTACCCTATAATTTTACTGATACCGCCTTTTGAATTTATTTACGTCTTCACTGGAATAATTCAATAGAAAATGACTTTTCGGCATTAGATCCACCACTTACTATATTAGGAAATGGAATGCGAATATTTTTTCTAGATAGGCTTTAGGCGAGTATGCGAGTGCGATGGGTTTACGCTTGCTGATTTGAATGTGTAGTGTATATAAAAACTATTATAATGATATTTTAATATAGATAAATAAGTTAATGTGTACCGCTAAGCGAGTTTTTAAAGATGAGTGATGTGATAACTAATAGAGAGCATGCGTGTGTGCGCGATTGAGAGTTAAGTCAAAAAGTGTGAATATCCGCCGACCTACTAAATTTTGCATGTATACAAAAGTGCCAAGGGCATGGTAGTGTATTTAACTTTTTAAATAAAATTTATGCTTTATAATAAAAAAAAAAATGTCAGTTTTTGAAAAAGACTATATTTAAAACTGTTTCAGCCAATACATAAAGTATCATGTGACTTATAACACAACCTTTGAATTTGCAGCTCGCCGAGGAATTACTAAAGAAAGAGACTCTCAACTATCAACAAGTGGAAGCTATACTAGGTCCGCCACCGTATCCGCGGAAGAAACTAATAGACCCTGTAGAGTTTGAGAACAGTTTGAAAAACTTAGAAAAAGCCGCCACAGAAGAGGAATCGGCACAGATCGGTGCTCCATCGGCGAAGCCTCAGACGCAACAAACCTTGTAATAATGGACATAATGGCCCTTTAACTTTCTTAATTATATTTTGTTGAGTAAGTTATATTTGTACATTAATTACTACAAATAAATGTTCTCTTAATATAGGCGGTATCTGTCATGCCAAGGGTGGTGTACCGGCCGTTTCGACCACCATTAGTCACATAAAGAAGTTTTGACCTACACAACTATGAACCTTTTGAGCCCATCAAGTCCTAAGCAATGAAATACGCTTTATTTCAATAACAAAATCATTCTCGTAAGGTCAGATATATAGATATGTGTATTTTTTCGACAGTCAGTTTTATTGCTATGTCAATAAGATATAGACTTGCGTGAAGTAGAGTGCAATAAAATAAAATAAACGAAAAACATTCTTGTACATATTTTGGCTTAATACTTATATAAATTAACCCATTGCAACGCGGTCGAAAGCGATTAAAGAAGATTGTGTATTGTTTTACTCTATGTTGCCTGCTATATTTTTTTTTTAAGTTGTAAGTAGTATGCAAATAAATCATATTTATATTGAACAGACTTTTTATTCCATAGCGAATGTGATTTCTTTATAAGCCAGCGAATTGAAAAAGTATGAACATGAAAGCTCATATAAGCGAAACAGCAAAGTACCTACTTACAGTTTTTAATCGTTACTAATATAGTATGGAAGTCGAACAGAATTTAATATAATAACCGACATTACACATCTCATTCATTCTAGTGCAAACATATTTCTGTTGCGCTCGCACATATCAATCTAGCCAATTTTGTCATAGTAAAGTGAACCTAACATGTTTACTACATCTATCAGTGGGCACAAAGATCAACGAATTTCTCTGTTCGGCGACCGTGCCATAATTGTACAAAATATTAAGTTACTTTTTTTATTTGTAATCTACATTTGACACTCAAGTTCAATATGGATTGCTAAATTTTTCATTTTGTAACGATTTGTGAACGTTCAAGTTATATAACTCGCATATAAAAAAGTAAGCTCTTGCGACTTTTTTGAGCCAAATGTTATTTCAGGCAAGCTTTCTTTCAGGTAATGTTGAGATGGGGTCTGCAAAGTTAAGCATTTGCATTCAGCTGTGCTTTGTAAGGCACGTTTAGCCGTTGGTCTTGGCTGCGTCAGCAGTGGTTAACTCTCACTAATCCGTACTAGGCCCAAATGATGGATCATTGCCCATTGTTATTCTATTCAATTTGGGACATTCATAGGCTGATTACGGTGAAGACTTTCTAGTAGCAAGGTGAGGTGGTTCAAGTTCAGCTTGTAGATTTACAGTGCAACTCAATTGGCATCAATTGGATTTGCATGGGAATGAATCACATACACTCAAAATTCTTCGAACTAGTCATTATCAACCAACAATCTTACGCAACTTGAGTGCATTCAATTTCATCCAATGTCATTAAAATTGAAACCAATACAGTTAAGCCCTTACTAGGGAACTCTCTTTTTTTAAATAAATATCGCAGATAATTATGATAAGTCTTATAAATCAAACCGTCGCTAATTTAAGGGAAAAGACTTTATTATTCACAATCAAGGGTAAGACACAGTATACATTGATCGACAATCTTATTACACAATATATATACTTACCAAGAAGTGACATAAAGTACCAAGACTATTCAACTAGACACTGATGTGTAATGGGTGTGTTATTCTACTTACACATGCCCATAAGACTATGAATATTAATATCAAACAAATCGCAGTCTTCAAAATGTAATTAAATATTATAAGTCGTAATGGGACTCTTATTCCCATGTTTACATAGGTAATACTAATTAAAATATAAATTCGAAAGGTAATACGCCTGCATTATGATGGTCATCATTATAGAGAAGCTCTTATACATTACGATCATGTCAAACTGAATAGTCGGTGTATGAAACAACTTATTGAACGGAAAAGGAAATTAATACTAAATTAATTAAATTTTAAAAAGAAACAAAATAAGGAGATTAAGAAACATTTATTATTAAATACAACATAAGTACGACATTTCGTTGCACTTGTTGCGACTTGTTTGGTTAACACGTATTTGTCATACGGTGTGGTGATGTCGTCACGTGATGATAACTGAGATGGGTCTAAAATTTTTAATTAATATCAAAAGATTTACGTAAAAAATGATAGGTCCCAACTTAAAAGGAACCTTAATGAAACGGTTTTGAATTTTATTTTCAAATTATTTACATTTTGAACCAATATTAATAAATGAAACCGACCGTTTATTTCTGGTTTATACAAATAACTAATTTTAAATATTAAAAACACAAGAAATTAAGTTAAAATATAATAAATAACTTATTATAATTATTATTTTAATAAACTGAGACTGTCCAATCTTTTTTTTTTGTTTAAAATAAAGTTGCTCTACCTACTTTATCCAATATGCTCGTGATTTTATTAATCCATTATTATTGAATCGGGCCCCTGCAATGAGGACGTAAAAGGAATGATTAAGAGTCGTGATTTTAAATCGATCGGTGTAACGTTACAAGGTGCATGTATGTAACACATTAATCGACATATCTTTGGTGAAAACACTCTTTAGCGAATTTCATACACTTTAATTGTGATGTACAACACATGAGATTAATGCGCGACGGATCATACGCCGAATGTCATATTATTATGTATTGGTCGGTTCTGACGTATCGCAACTAATGAGACAAGACGCAAGCATCGCATCTTCGGTCCAATCTACACCTTGTGATGTCTTATTTATCAGTTGAGCAAACAATATATAAGTTCTTTTTATTTGACATTTGTAATGCTATCTTTAAATTTAATTATAATTGAAATATTTAGTGTTCGCGTGTAACACCACTCTTGCGTCGACAAACACACAAACAAGTAATTACTCAACGAAAGTGCATCGAAACAATTTTGTTAATACGTTATTAATATTGCCTCTCGCAGCATAATCAACTTCAACTTATATCTTACAGTTAATCTGTTTTCATGTGCAATGCGTTCTGTGCCCTTAGCATTGGCTAAATAAAAAATTAATAATTTTAGATAACAAAATAAATAACAAAACTATTTTACTAACTTAAACTGTATGTGTACTTTGTAAGCACTCCGACTAGGTAATAAAAAATCCAATTTTCGTAATATGCACATTGTCAACTCTTGCGGGTGACACGCTCCATAGGGTGATGGCGTGTGTGAGAAAGAGACAGGTAAATGTATCGCTGTGTCTACAACCAGCCGCCTGTAATCACAAGACCTCGTCTTCGATGTTAGTTTGTGATTTTTATATATAATAGGATATACACCGTCAATTTTTAAAATTTATCACATAAAATAATTGTGAATATTCGGTTCCCGAAAACGGAATCCGCTGATCAAAATTAAACCTTATTTCTCGTCAAATAGAGTACTTACAGTCGGCAACAGTTAGCATTATGGAACATTTTTAAATAGTACAATCGAGAACATTAAGCGTATGACTTTTCCCCAAAAACCGGCATGCTGTTGACGCAGCGACGACATCTCTTGATAAATACAATTAATTAGTATAATATAACGACATCAATCGTCATTTAAAAAAATATAACGAGTCTCTTCTCCGTCACTTATCAAGTACCAACCATTTATTACGAGTAATAAGCGTTTCTAAGACAACTTTCTGCCCCCAAAGGTATCATTCTTACTTACATATACAATATAATATTGATACAAATCATTATGGCTTATACAGATTGGGCTCAAATTTAAATACCCTAGCCTAAAATTAAATTTTAAGTACAGAATTTCATAAAGGGAAACAATACACACTCGTATCTATAGTCGGGAGAAGTAATTACTTGATAATACGTTATAATTTAAGCAGATATTTGTACCAATTATACAAGATTTTCAATAAAGAAAGAACTGTAAAAGCCGTAGATATTAATAGTTCTTACTACATTCAAATTCTCGTCTATTGGTTATTACTTCTCTCTACTATAGGATATGAATGTTAGTATTATGTAGATCGTAAAATGTTATATATAACAAGTTCGAAAAATTTATTTTTTTCTCTAAACCAATATTAGATTATAGTTTCTGTCTTCCAGCAAGGAAAAAATGATTGTACTTAAAATTAAGTTTAGAGAGTATATATAATAAGGAGCCCATCGTTGAATTTAACACCTTCACTTATGAATACATCAAACTGTTTACATTTTTTTTATCTACTCTGTTTTTTTTTTAATTTTTACACCGACGCTTATTGACATTGTTCCCTAAATTTAAATAAAATACTAGGGTTGAACGTAAAACTTCGAGTTGAAATTCAGAATACACAGTAATAATTTTAAATCGTGAAATTATCAACATTTAGATACACAAAATACCTACTACATGTACAAGTACGTGAAAATGTTTATCAAGTCGACAAATTGTAAATATCAGACATTCATTGATATATTTTGAGACAGATCCATTTATTTTATCTACTTAGTATTATAACTGGTATATTGAACATCAATCTATTAATTTGCATCAAAAAATCAGTATTTTTTTTTAAATACATTCAAAATGTGAACTAGTACATACATATATTTAATTATATAGTTATGTAATGTGTATTAGTCTATAATGTGAAATATTTACTAAACCTGTTAATAATAGTTAGGAAAATATATTTTAATTGAAAGGAGTTGGCGCCCACCATATTTATCAATGTTCCGGCGCTCTGTCCTTGTTCGATCCAAAACATTTTTCTTTCTAAAGCGAGAGAGACACTAAGAGATATTCGTTTTTGAAGCATTTGAAATATGAACTTATTAAGGGTAATAAATAATTTCGTTTGTAGATTTGCACGTTGTTATTGTGATGTCAGTCATCTTATAAAGTTTTATAACACGTGCAGCTTGTGAATTAATCATTCCCAAAAAGACACAGCTAACGGAGTGTAATATAAATAAATAATACTATTAGGGCTATCTTGCTTTTGTAAGGAATCAAAGATCAGTAAAGCAAGCTTCTTCGTCATTTGATTGAACTAAGATTACTAGTTCGTTCAGCAACTAATGTGGGTTTTATGTTAGTTAATAAAGCGTTTTATTCAAATCAATAATGTATTATAAATAAAAGAAGATAAAAATACGTGGTTTCGCGTTAGTTCATCGTGGTGAAGTCATATTTCAACGCTTTGAGTTGATGAAGAGTCTGTATAATCTATGAAGACCACAAGTCGGTGAATTGGAAATCTAAAGCATAAGTATATTCTTTTTGAACGTAGTGCACAGTAGAATGATTAGATTATCTACTTACATACATATTGTTATTTAGTTATCTTATTTTACGTCGGTTAGTTGTTGTATACACTAAAGACATTATCTATTGAGCGCATTATCTAATTTTACATTGAATGTTAAATAGTACATAAAGATTATAATTTTAATGGTTCATAATCAAAATATGTTGATTAGCTTACAAACAATTCCACATCGATACATATAGCAGTATTGAAAATAGTATTGTTGAATTAAGTTTATAGAATATAATGAATGGCCTCGTAAATCAGTCACTATACTTATTACACAAAATATCGATATAAGCCATAAACAAAATCGAAAATAATATCGATACTAGGAAATATGAACACAACATTAAAAACGAAAACCCGATACTACGATAATAGTATTGGGGTTTGATAAATTCGCTTTTTTTTAAATAGTATCGTATATTGACGATATTTTAACGTACTTTAAAAGTTTAATACTATTGATTTTGCACAGGAAAAGGCGTCACGACGCCTTCCAAGAATACATCACATCTCACCATGATTACATTACACACTCTGTGTGCGTTTATTATTATCCTGATATTTTCAAAATTTTATTATTATAATCCTCACATAATTGTTTTTTTATTTATTTATTCATTTACCGATAAGATTGTTTTTCAAAGTTAAACATAGACAGTTAAACAACACTTCATTTGATTCACAATAATTCTATAATATTCTATTTAAGGATATGGGATTACTTTACTATAGTGCTGATTTTTATGTTTTTGTATTTTTTTTTTATATGTTATTCAGTAGTAAGCTACGGATGCTACATGGTGCTATTTCTATTAAGTGGATACATTACATTACTGTTACTATTTGTAAGCGTACAGGTAAACAGATTATTAGGAAAAAAAAAAAAATCCTCATTATTCTAAACATTATACGGAGCGCTTGATAATTCAGACTAGACTTGGGTGTTGTGACGTTCGGATGTAGTGGATTCTTTCTGTTTAGAAACACTCATTATATGTACTAGTATACTACAACATAATTAGATCGTACACTTTACTCGCTAAAACTTACACAATAACAATTATAACGATCGAACAATACAATACAGAGAAGAGAAGAGATGCGTATTGGGGACGTCACTACTGTTGAACCATTTAATAAATATGTGTATCGAAATGTTACGTTCGTTCAGTATACTACACCAGTCCTGGCAAAACGCTAGGCACACACATATTATTTATATAATTTTTAAGCGCGTCATATACAGCGAAATTTATATGTCGAATAAGTAACCGTATTTTGCTATTTATTATAATAATCAAAACGATATTTACGACCCGCTCTTCTTTGCATTGCATTTTAACTAGGTAACTCAATAGAGTTTACGAAAAAAATATATTCTATTATTATTTATTAAATTTTATATATAACCGCCGCGCGGTTATATACTGAAGTATGTTTAATGAATCATTGAAAAGTATTGGGTCTCCTAATATAAATTCGGTCTCAAAATGTTAATTAACCGGTCTCTTAAGCGGATATATTTATACAAACGTCTATTATAGTTGAGAAACATGCTTAGTGTAAGGACTAATGGTGCACAGAAAGTTCAATATACATTCTGTATGTATTACAAAAAAAGATTTTCTGAAAAGATTTTCTTAATAACATTAGGTACAAACAAAGTGCTCGTGATAAAAAGAACGATTCGAAATCGTAATTCACTTAATTTCAAATGTTAAATAACTTTACATATATTATGATATTTTTTTCGAATGAAACCATGTTATGATTACGTAATTAATACTGAATAATCTTGTCTAATTAAAGGACAATTAAACATAAAATTTTAAATAATGTACCACGCATACACCGTCAAAAGAGCACCTACATGATGACGTCTCTGCTCTACGTGATCACTTAAAACTATGACTATTTAACCTTCATTCAAAACACTTAAGTTCCTAATTTATGAGACTCCGTTTCATTACTGTCGACATTTATCAATATAACACAACTCCATATTTTATATTTCCAAAGCAAAGTCCTCCTTGGTACACAAACGTATTAATTCAAATGAACATTTAATAATTAACGCACTTCGTAAGCCACCAGATAAAACAATAACATAAAAGACTAAAAGAAATTAATAATACAATAGTAAATAAAAAACAATTTGTACTATGATTAATATGTATATGGGAATTGGTGAATTGTCATTTAGTATAAGATATAAATAGATTCATTACAAGAAATACAGAGATTAAAATACGAGTAGTTGGATACAAATAGTGTTAAGGTTTTGGAATTGCGACCACGTACCGGACGAAGCTCATTGGGTAGGCCACCACCATGTGGATCGACTATCTATCTTATAATGACCGGCTTATATAATATACCTAGCGTCAAAACAATACATGATCTTGATCTGATTGATTGTGTTGAATAACGACAGATTGAAATAGAACATATATTATCCCGAGAATTTAATTTTTGTCATCAATCCGGTACTTTGAAATTATCACGATCCAGATTTATCGTCTAAGGGTTGCGGAAAACCAGCTGGATCTATCCCATGGGGGAGGCCAATGCTCAGCAGTGAGTGTCGTTCGGCTCACGTCGCGAAGATGATTAAGAGTGTAAAGTTAACTTCTACATACAATTTACAATAATCATAGATTCTCACTTAGTTCTATATATTATGATTTTTGAGCTTAATTCAATGTGACGATCATAATAATAATAATAATAATATTTGGAGACGACGAACAATATATTTGACATTAATTACCTACCCTCGTTAATGATATTGGGCATTCACCATCAAAATTGTCTCAATATCTTATTATGTGTATAATTAGGTAATATGCAACTAATGACTAATTCTACAATTAGTCGTAGACTGAACGAACAGCAGCCAGGACTGGCTTTTGAATGATTTTTTATTTAACATTATTTCGTCTTTCATTAAACATACATTAAATTGTATATTTAATAACGCCTACATGGAATATAAACAATCATATTTGAGCATTCCCACTTTACAACTGAGCGCTTTTTATTTGGACTCCGATGACGGCATTCCCTCTGGCGAATTATATACCTGGAACGATAATTACAGCTTAAGTATTAAGTTTTATGCGCACAGTAAATAATAATATTAATAAATCTAAATTTATTAGTATTATTATTGTTCACTTACACCCATTTGCTTTAACGTCCATTAAAATTGTCATTAGTTTAAAGCGACATTACCAACACAAATTTACGATATTTGGTATATTCATTAAACCTTAAGGTCGTCGTTAAACTTTAATGGACATTTGTGCTAGTCTTTCAGATATTTTAACAGATCTATATAGGTATCAATTCTGCTAATGTTAATAATTAAGACAAGAGTAAGCAAAAGAAGGTTGCATATTAATAATGCATTTTTATGTACAAAAACAATCATAATTTGATTATGTTGTTTGTTCCAGCATTTATTAATATTATTAGGACTGACGGTATACTATTACGGCGCTGTGCGCGACGTCGAGTTTAAGGCTGTTTTTATCAAAATAACAGCCAATGTTATCTTAAAAAGGCATCTGAATTTGACTATAGGTATTTGGGGCCCGATATTATTAAGACAGTCAGTCAAAGTAAGCCTGATTGTGTTCGGTCTGCCAAGCGGAGGTTAAGGTTCTTTCCAGTTCCGGTTTCCGGTTGACCGGTGAAAAGATGGGTGAAGAAATTTATTATCTTGAACTCCTCCATGCTTCGATAAGTACCTAGATGTACATCAAGTTCTGACTGAATGCGCTAACCATTGAGCTCCTTGTCTTTAGTATTTACATTATCATGTAGTATACAATACACCTACAAGCACACTATGTACGAGTAATAAACACAATATCATTATTTAACATTTGTTATTGAAAATCACGAAAGAAAAACAAAAAGAATCAAACTGACAGATCAAAATAATATAATTCACGATGTTCACGAGATCGGCAAGTAATTAAAATTTAAATATCAATATCATCCATCCCTGTTTTTCATACTGTATTGTCGTTGTGGTATAAAATGCAATCAGTGAGCTTCGATTCCATTCGATTTCAAGGAAACCGATGTGAGTGTAGACCCGCTAATGTGAAGAAGTGACGCATTATAATAAGAGTCAACACTTATATAAATTTCAAATGTTTGATATTACCCTTGACCATCCCTGGCGGCTCATTTCATTGATAGATTAACCAATGACTTCAGAAATTGTCTACACTCCGCATGAGGGCCCTACCAATAAATATATTGCAATTGATCCATAATATAAGTTGCTAAAAGAGATGCATAAAATTGTCATCATTCCCATGAACATCGAAGATTTGAAAAAAAAAACTAAATCAAGACTCGGAACCGGATTCTAAACAGGTATTAATAGCTGAATAGCTGACTGATTACGAAAAGTTCAAACAAACAAATTCCGATCTTTGTGGTTAAGATTGACATATCTTAACCACAAAGATCGGCAATTGTTTCCGAGACCTGCGTTAAACCAAAACGGAACACTACATAAAGCTTCGCAAATTAAATTAATGGATGTAAGAGTAAAAAGCATCAGCCTGATTAGCACCTGTAAGCACCTCTACTGGGAGCGAACTCCTCCGAGGCAGTTGTTGGGTTCTTTCTTGGACGTTGTACGTGGCTTTGGCTAGCCACTGCTGACATGTAGTAATAGGATTTGTTTTTCTTCGGCCCCCGTTGATGCTGTGCCTCAAAGCTCCTAAAGTTGCTAGACCACGAAACTCTGAAGGAGCAACCGGAGCTGGTGCAGAGCCGCGGCGTCGTGTCCATGATTCCTTGCTCGACAGAGTCCGCCTCAAAAACTGCGGTAAAGCGGTAGCCACTTCACGTATCTTCTTTTCTTTTGGTGCTGTGGAATTTGAAAATACTTTAAGCTACTATCAAGAGGAACCTTAACCAAAATTACAAGTGTCTGAAATTTGCGGTACCGTCGTTGTTTCCGATTCTCATAACAAAAATTCTTTACTTTGAAATCAAAGCGGTAAACTTACTATAAGCGACTGTTTCAGCAGGCATAGATTTCCTGCGCCGCTGTAGTTGATCTGAAGTGAATACGCTGTGGTGCATCGCGGTCAGATTATCTCGTAACTGGCTACCGATCGATGTAGTGTCACGACGGCCTTCCAGGCTTGCACGAACAAACGGATCCAAATTCTCTTTCTCTAAATTCTTGGCAGGTTCAGTCCCAACGTTATTATTTTGTGAAGTGTCATCTGTATCAGTCTTTTCAGAATCGTTCCTTCGGAATATACTAGTAAATGTCCCTTCCCTCTTACTCCCATCGAGCCTAATCCACACTTCAGATCGGAATCGAGATGGGAACATTGAATCCTCTTGGCTGGTTTCCGTTTGGTTGTTGTGGTGGGCATGCGCACGTGCAACAGACTCCAGTGGCGGGAATGTCTGTTGGCGGACCAGTTTCCACGTACAGCCGTCTTTTAGTACTGTGTTCAACCTCGTCGCTTGCACTGGAGTAGTTATAGATGCTATAGAGGAATCAGGTAGAAGCTTTTCTGTACTGAGAACTTTCTCTGCAGTGGAACGAGAGTGCTCGCAGTGGCCTCTAACGCTGAGCTGAGAATGCAGAGAGTGCTCGCTGCCATCGGGACTCTGTACACTACTCTGACATGGATCAATAGAGGAGGCTCTTATTTTATCCCGACGATATTTTGAATCTTGAAACACGTTCAACGGCACAGAGAAACGACGGAGCTGATCTTTTAAACGCACTTGCTTCACTGGATTAAGAGAACTTCTACGCAGTGGTAAAAGAAGTTCAGAACTGTCAGATATATTAGTCCCAGAACAAGTTTCGAGGTCGTCATCCACCATATCCGCATCAGATATTTCTGTGCCAGTTTCCTCCGCTAACTCCTGGGCAACCAGCATCTCCCATTTGCTTTGATTATACAACAGATTCTTTAGCATTTGTGCTGATAAGTCATTCTGTAGGAACCTGTGCCATTCTGTTATTAATGGAGTGACGACAAATTTGAAAAACCCTGTAAAAGAAAATAAATGAAAACATTTACAAACATATCGTTAAAGTGTGTCCCAATAAAATAATATAAAAACCATAACTAATTTCAATAAGTGATACTAAAATACTACTTATTATTAATAAAAAGAAAATACTACAGGCGAAGGATATTTGTTTTGATTTGTTCTTGTTAACCATATAATATACGTGTGAGTCTTCATAAAGTGCACATATGAAAACCAGAGAGTGTGTCTTATTATAATGATGAAAAAAATACAAAAAATCTATATCTGATTTCTTTTATGATTAAAAAAAATTGAGATAAAAATACATCAGTAAAAAAAATAAGACGATTTTATGACCAAAATCTACTATTTTATCCAACTGTACAAAATAAAAAAATAAAATTTCTCAATAAATCCTCCCCATGACCTACCAACTACATTACTTTTAAATTATTCTACAACGTATTAGCTTTATTAACGGTAGCAAAAACACGCTAATAACTAAACTATTACGTTGCGTAAGGGCTGTCAAAAAAGAACCTGCAGATGGCTATCCACATTTGTTTAGCAGGTAGGGTTTTACGCGATGCCGCGTTCAAGTGAATTTCTCTCGGCACACATTGCTGATATACATTTTATAGTGGAATGGCATGAGGCAGTGCCATGGCTGCGCGCGCAGTTTACACGATTGCATTTACTACCATCAACCGGTGCCATCTGCCCGCAACTTCCAGGAAGTTCACAGGAGATTGTCCAACTCAGGACTAGGATCAAGTAGAGATCGTCACGAGTCTGCAATAAATACTTAAGGGGCGGTGGAACAAGTAGTATTAATTAAATTGCTGATTCAACCGTCAGTACTGGACGTCTGGCGCTGTGTCACGGAATATCACAAAAAGGCATGGTGAATTTCAAGAAGAGAAGGGCTACATCCTTATCTCTATCAAAGGGCATTTACATGAACCAAACCCTGACTTTCCAAAAAGGATTTTGTGAATGGACGAAGCTACCCTTACAAGAGACGGAATAACAAACTGCCGTAATTTGCATAGTGGCCTAAAGGTTAAAAAAGCGACCAAAATTAAAGCGATCGTCGATATTACAAGTGCGGTTCTCAATGTCTGGGCTGGTCTTGTCGATGATATGCTAATTGAACCAGTCATTTTACCAGGAACTGACTAGTTATTGGAAGATGTACTACTGGCTTTGCGCCGAAGGATGTACACACAGATTAATGTCCTGCACACAACGCTAGGAATGTAAGATCATTTTTAAATGACAATTGCCCAAATCAATAGATCAGCCAGCAAGGACCTATAGCGTGACTAGCACGATCACCCGATTTTCTCTTGGGGACAATTAAACATAGAGTGTACAGCACACCTAATAACAGCGAAGACAATTTGCGTGACATTAATAATAAGTTGCAAATAAATGATCTTAACAGAAGCTTTTTGTTCCATTTATCGCCACAGATAAATGGAACAAAAAACTTCTTAAATAAGTCATAATTTCTTTAGTTTTTGATATGTGCACTATGAAGACTCACACTGTTTTAGTCGTTCTAGAGCCGCTCCGTTCCATTAGATTTGTTACAATCTCATATGCTTTATGAAATGTCTAATATTATTAATGATGACTATTTAAACAAAACAAAACTACACACAAAAACCTTAAAAAATTGGAAAATAATATCTTTCTAAAATGTCGTTAATATGTTGAGTTAGAATATATATTAAAGTCAGACGGTTAATTTTCGTTATAGGTACTTTACTACCACATATATTTTCAAATTCCCCACCAATTTACTAACTACCTGTTTGTATCTTGGGAATGGAGGTGGTGTGCCTGTCGCAGAGAGCGGTCACGGGTAGATTAAGTTTCCTTTCGTAATCGCCTTGGCGGAAGAACTCCTCGCATACTTTGAGACTCCATTTCCTGCTGATTTCCCACGGACGACAAGGATTAGATATGTCTGCGCACTTCAGGGCGATTTGTAATACCAAATGGCGATGTTCCTTTTGCGTCATGTCCAAGGTGTTCGTGTCCAAATGAGTCTGTAATTAAAGCGACCAGTATATAATAAGCGTCAAATGTTTGAGCACTAATATTATTGTTGAGCACAGTCAAATGTTCAAATAATTGAAAATCACGTACATTTAAAGTTATTAAAACTATTAATTAATATATATGAATGAGAAAGTATTTTAAGAAAAAAGAAAGCACTAAAAAGCACCTCACTAGATGGCGACTCTAGCAAAAGATGATTTTTACAGGAAACGAATGGACCAAAGATAGCCATTTCCGTTTCTTTTAACTTACATTAAAGAAAACTTAAATTTTCAAACTCGAAACTTAACTATCAATACAAATACGAAAAAATATAAATAGAATATGACTTGTTTATTAAGTTTAAAAAATTAATTAACTTTCATACATGAAAGAACAATGGAAGGGTTGTTATGGAGAAATCAAGAAAGTACCGTAGCGACATCTAGTTTGATTAAGGGAACTAATTTTTTTTTGTAAGTACTTCCTCATTATGTTTTTAGGCATCAAGATTATATTATTGATACATATTATTAGATTATAATAGTCATAGTTGTTAACAGAGACACTGCCACTGACACTGTCTCCGTGCCTCTCTTGTTGGACAAACTGCTGCGGGTGGGGCTATATATATATATATATATATATATATATATAACGTGGGTATACGAGGTTCGGTCCTTGAAATGTTCCGGAGTTATCTGAGTAATAGATGTCAAAGTGTTTCCATTGGCGATATTATAAGCAGCGATAAGTTTATAACATCTGGCGTTCCTCAGGATAGCGTACTTGGACCTAACCAATTTTGCTATATATTAATGATTTATGCCAACTGCCTCTTTCAAACTGTAAATGACTTATGCTGATGCCATTCTCGTGCATGGTCATGAATGGGAGGAAACTCGTGTTCGCGCTGAGCCTGCTTTACGTGTAGTCAAAGAGTGGCTAGCAAATAACCTCCTTTCACTTAATGCTTAAAAATCTTGCTTTGTCACATTTGTTCCAAGATTGCAGTATCAGCCGGGACAACCTTTCAACATTCGAGCTCATCTACGAAGATGCATAGTTTCTTCTGATCAAGCATGCAATTGTGAAACGATTTCTCGAGTCTCCTCTGTAAAATACTTGGGGATGATGATAGTGTAATGTCATAGAGAGAGCATATAATATTAAAAACGTGAGCTCTAAGATTAGGAAACTAATTTTTGTTTTCTGTAAACTGAGGGGTAGTGAAGACATTTTACTTTTCTTTAGCCCAGTCGATTTTACCCTACTGCATAATCTTTAGGGTTCTGCTAGAAAGACACATCTATTACAGTTGGAACGAGCACAAAGGGCTGTACTAAAAGTTATGGCTTTCAAACCTGTCCGATTCCCTACCAAAGATCTATACGAGTTATGGAAATTGCTATCCGTTCGTAAATTGATTGTATTTTATCTATTACTGCGTAAGCACAGATGTTTTCCTTATGAACCTAATTTTGTTTAAAACAATTGGCGGTCAGACAGAGTTTATACTATAGAAAGGTGTAGAATAAAATTAATATAATATCATTATTCTATTTCAGCCATTTTATATAACAAGGTTAATTCTAAACTAAATATATATAGTCTTCCATTCCGAGTTTGTAAACAAATGTTTAATGAATGGTTACAATAACTTAATTATGATGATGTTGAATCATTTATTATTTAGGTGCATTGCGTATTTAGTTGTCGTTCTTGTTTTTGTGTTTTGCTTTATTTGTGGCTTTTATTTGTTATCTGTTCGAGGTGGGCGTTAATTCCTGCAACACAGTCTTGGACTAATGCAACTATTAGCGTGCAATTGGTTTTGTAATTATTTACTGCCCCAAATAAATTATTATTATTGTGCCTAATTTTGTTATAATTTTTTGATCAAATATCTATATGGGTATTATAATATCTATATGGGTTAAGTCATAGCCGATACAATAGAAACTCGAGGAGGGCTTCGCGCAAATGGTACCTTCCTCAAGAAATTCGGTATGCAACAGTAAAAACCGTGTCAAAAATAATGATCAAGAATAAAAAAGCGAAACAGTTTTTATATTATGAAAAAATTAAGTAATACTGTATTAAGTTTAACTTGAATATAAATTCAGTGATTCATCAACCCCCGTTTTCAATAACCAAAAAACTATCCGTTTTTGCTATCATCCGCAGCATTTCCTAGCGATGGTAGTTAAAAGTGTTTCAATAACATACCGTTGGTAGGTAAAGTTACCGACGTTATGCTACTAACAGATTGCTGTCGATAACCGTTCGTAGGGAAAATATATGAATATGGCGCAAAAAGGTGTTTCGATATAAAAATCTATCCGTCGTACAGCTGTCAAACTTAATTTCCGTAGTTTATCTGTCAAATTTGCTTACCGGCCATTTCCCGTCGGTTATCGGATAAATATTTCTAAATAATACGTTTTATCTTATTAATTAATAGAAAAGTAACAGTTTCTGATTAACAAATTAATATTGTAATTAATAATAATATAAAAACCAATTTCAAATTTAATAACTGAAATCATTCCTATTGATTTCTCATTAAACGTTTATTACCAAAATCGCAGTATGGCCGTAATATTATCCTTCTTCTTGAATTAAATAAGTAATTACAATTAAAAATATGAACCGAAAACCGTTCGTAGGGTAGGCGATTGTGAAACGCAAAAACTAATGATTGTCGGTAGCTGCTACCGATGGTTGTCGGTAGATTATTGAAACTGGAGGTAAGTCATTGCAATTTAAACATATTCCAAAACAGTATCTTGTTTAGACCATTATCCGACCAAATTCAGTCTTCATCTTCTTATCTCTTAATAGCTACCAAATAAAATCAATTAAGTACATATAAATTTGACGTTTTTCTACTATCATTGTCAATTTAATAAGGCGGCCAATGATTTAAACCAAGTACCAACTTTCGACCTCATTTTATAATAAGTCCAAATGTGGAGGTACTACCGTTTTTTGGTAAGAACTGGAGTAGAAATTGTGCGATTTTTAATTATTTTTTTTTTCAAAAAGATTTTACCGGCCCTGGCTTCTATGGCGTTCAGCCGTGGGTCTTTAATTAATATATAATCAAAGGCTATGATTGCCCCAATAAATAGTCTGTGGGTCACAACCTAAATGTGAGTAAATTAGTAAACCAAGAAGCTTATATACCTAATCATTTATCTTTAGTTGAATATTGGTATACTTTTAGCCTTACAAGCTTATACAAGCTTAATCAATATTGCGTCCAATGTATTAGTAGTCATGATAATAAAGTTTCTTTGTATATTCACAGTAAAATAACATACACGTATACCTACGTCACAGTTGAATGAAGATTATCTATGCAAGTTAAAAAAGAAAACATCAAAAGAAATTTTCGAGAAATATTTACAGTTCTGATTAGTTTTACGAGTGGTCATAAAACGTAAACATTTTAATAAAAACAATAATTGTTAGTACTCTAAATATTCGGCGATTTGTTTTCTCCGCTGCTACGAGTCGTCCGGGCGTGAATAAACGGCTGCTATTAACAATTTTTAAATATGACGTCGTACTATAGTAAATATTATCGCTTTGTGGATTTATCCCGCTAGCCGCCAGCGACTTCGTCCGCGTTTTCCATTATTTCTTCGCTCCTAATGGTTGCAGCGTGATGTTATTTAGCCTAAAGCCTTCCTCGATAAATGTTCTATTCAACACTAAAAGAATTTTTCAATTCGAACCAGCAGTTCCTGAGATTAGCGCGTTCAAACAAACAACTAACTATTCAGCTTTATAATATTAGTATAGATTAGGCATCACAAAAAATCAATGGTCAACCGGCAAGAGTGATACCATACTATAGATGCGGCCATATAAATTATATAAAAAAGAACTGCTAAAGTATATATATTATTATTATTATGTCCCCAGAACTAGTAAGTAATATAATTCACTTTTGCACTATATCTTAAGTGTTTTATGTGCGACATTATGTGTAGCAATCTCATTAATGTATTTACAGTTAATGCTCACTTCCCACAAAAATAAGAACAGTCTTTGTATCAAACTCGGCCACTAAACATATTTATATAAAATAAACGATCTTAGTAATTATATTATAAATCATTTCAGTACTTCAGGAATTGTTTGGTGTATTTCTTTAAGAAGTATTTATATAAAGATTTTAAAAGTAATTGGAAAAATACGAATTGAAAAAGGTACGCATTATGGATTACACATGTGGGATGTATTCAACACACGTGTAGGCGTTTTGGATAATGACAATGTCTGCAGAAACAGCCTGCCTACTCTGGACATGTCCTCCAAAGCTGTTTGGTAATACTATATGTCACTAAAACCCAGACTACAGCTGATTCGAATCGCACTAAGAGCGAATGCTTGTTGTACTAATATGTACTTGATTCATGGATGGATCATCCATTATTCAGTTACCAACTTGGCATTGTTTGACCTGTTTTAGTCCTGGAATTGAATAATAGTGAACGCTCATTTGATGATAGCTATCCCAACGGACGTTGGCGTGGCATGTGCGAAATTCAATAAATCACAATTCAGGACTTTGTGGATTCCTAACATTTATTGTCCATTCGGAAGCACAGGTTTTATGGGTGGAATGAAGTAGGGAGTACTAAAATTTTTTTTTAATGTTTTCTTCGCCTTGTAAACCTTGGAACATTTAAAAAGCTTTCATCGGTTTGTGAAGCCCGACGACGTAATGTTAGGTCCATTCGGTTTGCCACGGGGAAGATAAGCAACAATCGCCTGTGCACTCTCGGCCGTGGAGAAGCTTCTCGTGCTCTGAGTCTCTCTCAACAGCAAGGACGGGACTGTGGCCCCCTTCTCACCGGGATCGGTCGAACGCACAACTACGTCGACCGAGACTATGGACGACCGAGTCCCGTTCCTCATCTCCAACTAAAGGCATTTGCAGAGTTTTTAGTGTGTAGGATCAACCCTTTTAGCTGATTAGTGAACCTCCCATTGG